ATAGACACGCTTTTTCCAACCCAAGACTTAAGCACCAAATTGCTCTCTCCAAAAAAATTTGGAAATTGAAGGAGAAAGACCTGAACCCTCAGATTGAGTGGAAATTCATAGGTTTTGCTCAGACTCTTAGTAGCTTTAAGGGTAGATCTAATTTATGTTTGGAGGAGGAAATTAGAATTACTAAATTTAACAATCAAAACATTTTATTAAACAAAAAGAATGAATTGGTTTCAAAGTGTCATCATAGAAGTATATTCCAACTGATATATTTATTCAACCTCATACTCTCCACATTCAGTTATCTTCTACATATGAAATTTTTGTCAACATGGAAAATATTTTTTCTGTATGTGGAATTTTTTTCTATTTGAATTTTTTTTAATTGATTATTCCTTTTATTTAACTCTCTACCTAATGGTTTCCTTATATATGATACTTTGATTTAAATTAGGTATATGCAAGAAGTTATTTATTTTTCTATATTCACCATTTTTAATTTAATGGAAATTGTTTTTAAAGAGTTATTTTTCTATATATCATACACTTTTCAAAGAGTTTTTTTTCTATATTTCATATACTATAAGTTTTTATTTTTATATTTTTCTCTATACAATTTAATTTTTATTCTTTCTTTTTGAAAATCTGATATGTTATGAGCATTCAAATATATTGATTTAAATTTACTTTTATTTAAATGATTCATGGCTAGCTGTTTTTTGGATTTTTGGGGTTTGTCTTTAGTTATTTGTTATTGATGTTTCCCTTTGTAAAAGGACTCTTTATACTTTTATCTATTTTAATTATAATTCAATCTATATTTATCCTGTATAATATTTAATATATTAGTATTCTTTTAACATATATGATTCTATCTAATCCTTTATATTTTAATCTATAATTAATCTATTGTAAGTGATCTGGGATTGCAAAGGAAATGTTTGCCGCAGATTATTTCCATGCCGCAAAAAATAAATCACTAAGTTCAGACTCGAACATCAGGGACAGAAAGAAAATGCCGAAAACTCAATTCGCAAGCACTATTTCAGAAATCCCAATGCACACCACCAGCCAGAAAACTAACTCACTCTCCAACAGCCATGGCAGCCAAAATAGCCGACTTTTTTGTCCCCAGATTCAAGAACACCAATTGCTTTTATCGTCCGAACATTTTTTCCATTCGTCGACAGCAGAGAGAGGATGTTCAGTAATTTGCATATCAAAATACTTTTATAGCAACTCCTGCGACGGATTTTTTTTTTTTTTTTTTTAATTCAAATATTCCATCTTCAGCATGTCATGCAGAATACATGCCCTTTTGTTTGGTAAGTAATTTTCTTTTTCGCCACATTTTCTGTTGGAGAATACACACGACGTACTGTCGCTTGGTTTGACGAGGTAAGTCCCCATTTTCTTTGCTATATCTATATAATCTTTAAATTTAATCTTAATTTTAATCTATATTTTACCTTTTATTATCTATTTAAAATTTTCCCCTTATATTGTCAAATTTTCTTTTAAGCTATTTCTGATCTATTTATTTTAAGTCTTCTTTTAATTATTAATTTTAATATTCAGGTTTTTCTTTTTTATATACTATAATGACTAAATTTTAATTATAATATTAAATTCCTTGGTATATTAGAATTAAATAATAGTATTAATATTAAATTCTAAAATTTCTGTAATCTGTCTTAAAAACCTTTTAGCTTTAAAGATTGTATTTCTTTATGCAATTTTTTTCTTATTCGAACAAGGGTTAACAATTTAAATATATACGTCATTGTTTTAAATTCTGTCTAGACTTGTCTTACCATTCTACAGAAGGGCAGTTAGCATATTCTGAAGCCCCAGCTAATGGAATGGTTGAGTCTTATACATTGAAAGAATGATGGTTATATTTCAAAAGGTATCATGTATGGTGAGCTGGCAACATGATACCATCCAGTAAGCCACTTGCCACTAACTACATTTCAAGGACATCTGCAAGAGGCACCTGAAACTCATAAGAATCAAATCTGGTAGTTGATAACATCAAGCAGACAATCACAGCAGATGTCACCATGCTATTCAAGGATGAGTCATGATTAGTGGAAAAAGAAACCTACAGTTGAATGTCAGAAGACAACACAGTGGAAAGCACAATCTCAGATTTCATTTCAGCTTTGTCTTTGCAAAGCTTGAACTGTTATACCACTCCAGACACTGCATACAAAAAGACTGAATTTTGAGGTTACCCACATGAATATACAGTAGCAAGCATAAAGATCAGAATGATGTTAAATAAAAGTCTAAATGTGAAATAACTTTTTATTTTAAAGCTTCATAGAACATTTTATCAAGGAAAAATAAGGATATAAAGGTAAATTATATAATTCCAAAATATAAAGCTCAATAAACTTATTTTGATAAAGTTATATTATATAACATTCGAAAAAAAATAGATGATCAAAAACATCAGAACAATTAACAAAATCATACTATTATAATGGATACATCATATCCAAATGAATATAGTGTTCATAATTCATTAGTACTTGACATGTAAACCTTTACTTGCAATAACAGCTTGTCATCTTTTGCTACATGAGCAAATTAATGTCTTGCATTCATTAATGGATATTTTCTCCCATTCTCCTTTCAAATTAGTCCATAGTTCTTTGACATTTGGATTCTTTTCCTTAGCTCTTTCATTTAGTAAGTTCTAAACATTCTCAATAGGATTCATGTCTGGGCTTTGAGCAGGCCACTCCATAACAATAACATCCTCCTCAGAAAGAAATGTCTTAACAGACTTTGCTGTGTGACATGGCATGTTATCTTGCATAAATACAGCTGGTTGATTAATTGCAGTTATCAAATTAGGTTCAAGATGTTTCTTCAATATCTCTATGTATACAGTTGCGTTAATTTTACCATGTAGCCTAACAAGAGGTCCCATACCAGCAGCTGAAACACCATCACCCTTCCTCCTCCAAATTTAACGCTGCTTTTAGTGCACTGAGGCAAATATAATTCCTTAGGAATGCATCAAACAAACCTTCTCCCTTCCCAACTTAACAGGTTAAATTTTGACTCATCGCTGAAATGAACACAATCCCACTGTTCTTCTGTCCATATGATGTGTTCAGTGGCAAATTTCAATTGGCTCATTTGATTCTTTTTAGAAATGTAAAGTTTCATAGAGGCTACTCGACTGTTCAGATTTATTTCATTAAATCTTCGGGAAATAGTGTGCCTTGATATTTTAATGCCAAGGTAAGCATTAGCTCTTTTAGAGATAGAGGTTGCTGTCACAAATCAATCCTTTTTTGATTCATTATCAATCTGTCTTCCCTTGCAGTAGTTTTCCTAGGCCTGCCAGGTATTTCTTGGTGTCACATGACCCAGTTTCCTCATGTTTTCTTAAAATACTATGAATAAGACTTAGATTTCCCCACACTTTGAAATATCCCCAATTGAGAGTTTATCTTCATTACGTAACTTGACTATCAGTTTTCTAAGTTCCAATGACATCACAAATTTTTTCACCATGTTTACAATGCAAGAGTCAGTGAAGAGTCGGTGTAATTTAGTAAAATACCCTATTTTATATTCTTACCCTAAAAAATTTTCAATAATGCAAAATAATTATTAAATTTTATAAATTTATTTAATCGTTCTGATGTTTTTGACCATCTATTTTTTTAATGTTATAGAATTATTCTTATAACTTTATCAAAATAAGTTTATTGAGCTTTATATTTTGGAATTATATAATTTACCTTTATATCCTTATTTTTCCTTGATAAAATGTTCTTTGGGGCTTTAAAATAAAAAATTATTTCATATTTAGACTTTTTCTTAAGATCGTTCTGATCTTTATGCTCACTACTGTACATCGGAGGAAGGTTGGAGTGTACAACAGTCAAAATGTTGTGATAACAAAGATGAGGACAATAGTCCAAATATAAATAGTGTAAATAATGATAACTCTCATCCCAGAAATTCAGACGAAAATGATCATATTTAATACTGTTATTATATTCAGTAGTAGTATTAGTAGTATGATTTTTTTTAAAGATGAAATATTCTCAACCATTATTCTTTTTTTACTAGTATTTAGCTATTTATTTATATCAACATAATAGAAGTTTTATTGTAATACCCAAACAAGGAAACTTTAATTTCTCTTGAAACTAATTTATATATTTTTTAATCATATACAGCACTCTGTGAAATCTGGAAACAACATCAAAACATTTTTCTTTACTTACCAGTGACACTTTAATATTAACTAGATAATTAGTAAGTCTATAATTTAACAGTTATTTATAAAAATCACACATTTGTTTAAATCTCAAATATTTAAACAGGTGATATAGTGTTTATCATATAAAATGCATTCATAACTATCTATAAATTATAGTTGATTATGCTGAATAAACCTAAAGTTCTAAAAATACTAATTGATGCTAAATATCCCCCTAACAAGAACAAAATATTGTATTTTTTAGCTAGCACAATGTTTGAATACAATAATATAATTTAAAAACCAAAAAGTTAAGTTTTAGAGCCTAAAGATTATACTTATGAAAATGATTAATTATTTGGTAAAGCACTTTGATCATTCAGATTCTAGATATATAAAACTAACAAAGAACTTGAGTATTCAAATTATCATTGTCTTGAAGCATGGAAAAAAAATAATTAAAAGAAAAAGAAAATCAGCCTTCTGTTTTAGAGAAGAAAACTCGCAGACAGAATTTAAAAGAATTTTTTTAAAATTTTAAACTGAGGTGCACTTCCAACCAATTTGATCTACAAAATGTATTTTGTATTGGTATAGAATAATTTCAATCCTTTAATCCATTCAGTTCAAAACCTGTTTAGTTTTAATCTATTGGTTGTTTAGAAATATTCCTTTTCTTAATTAGGGATTTCTCATCTTAAGGATAATTTTAGAAAACCAGTTTAGCTATAACAGAACATAGATTGAAGAACAAAAAAAAATAAATACTTACCTGGGATCAAGGCCACACACAGTCCCAGCTGTTTCTCCATTTGGCCCAGGTCTGCTTTTAGACCATTTATAAAATGTGGATAAAGTTTTTTATATATATATATATATATATATATATATAAAAAAAAAAAAAAAAAAAACATGGAACAAATCAGTAAAAATAAGAATTTTTTGTTCTTTCATTGTGAAGAAAAATATTTTTGGAGTGGAAGTACATGTGATAACTTACCACTTATTACAGTGGTTTTGTCATTTCTCTCAACTGATAGAACAGTAGAACAGTTTGTTCTTTATTTGTTGTTTTTAACGTCACTTTAACATTGTTCTAAAAATAATGAAAATCCATAAAATTCAAACTTAAAGACACAGAATCCATGATTATAGTTTAAAAATATTTTTGCATGTCTCAAAAACCAATCAAGGTTTGTTTCTGCTGTAAGAAACTTAATTAACTTTTTTTTATGACAATAGTTATTAAAATCTAAATGCCCTAAAAAGTTACAAGAAGATATTTCACAATAATACTTACACTGCACCTGTTCTCTGTCATTTGAGCACATCCAGATCCATCATTGCGTACACAGCAAGCAGATCCCTCTTCTAGGATACGATCTTTTCTCATAGCTTTCATGAGGTTTCCATCTCGACGCATACATGGTGAATATTTAGCTCCCAAATGAATGAGATCAGCCTGAAATTATGAAACGGGAGTAAATATAAGGATGAATAGATTAAGTAAAATGTTCAGGGGATAATTTTAAGTTATTTTGACTTCATTAAAAAAAAAAAAATTTAAATTAAAAAATAATATATAAAGAGAAAGTTGAAGTGTAAGGTGTAACAAGATTTGCAGAAAAGTTCAATATTCAAAGAGACAGTTAACCAGCAGAAAAATAGATAGTAGTAAAGCAAATTGTAAGTTTATGTATAATTTTGAATCCATTAAATTTATATGTACTGTCAATAAGTCAAAACAAGACAGATTTACATAAAAATACACAAAAGAAAATTGATTCATAAGTCTCAATGAATTCCACCTTATTCATTTTTTGTTTGTTTATACAAAATAATTCATAATAGAAAATTACTTTGTTCAAAACATGGCTCACCAATTATCATAACTTGCATTATTAATATTTGTCAAGGGGTCCAGCCCTTTTTATACAAGTGGACTTGCCCAGTATGTACTTGTACTGCTGCCGGTGAATACCCAGGAGTGAGGAAGTGAGAGAGTGAGAGTGTGATGTATCCGCTTTGTAGGAGTCACAGTTGCGAGCACGTAGACTCAGAAGGAAGTCATACTTTGATACTGAATTTCCCAGACTGTATATATATTATTATTGCTACTAACCACATTTCTGGATCTACTAACCGTATTACCAATTGTATTATTACGTCAATATATTTATTTGCTCTATTTCATTCCTGCGTTTGTCATTCATTTGAGAGTGGGTTTCATCTCGGAATCCACAACAATATTATTATTCAATAACAAATTTTATAGCAACCTACTTTTCAAAATCCAATTTCATAATTTTTTTATCAAAGATAATTTTATAACACTACTTCCCTCACCCCCTCCCACACACAACTTGTCATCTGTCTTTACCAGCTGATTTTCCCCTCCCATGTTGTGCTTAAAATTTTATTGAGAACGTTTTAGAAAAAGTTGATCGAGATGTCCTCAGGAACAAAATTACAAGAGAAATAAAAGTCACTTTCATAACAGACAACCAATTCTGGCTTATAGAAAGTTTATTTGCTGATAGTTACAGTTATTGGTTTAACCCTTCTCAGTTCTGCTGTTAACCTAACTACAACACATGAGACCAATAACCTGACTGGCAATTCATAATTGAGTCAACAATTCAGTGAGAGAATTTTGGTCTCAGGCCTGCAAAGTTTGTTTCCAAAATCTGATCACAAAACAGAAAAGGAAACTTCTTAAGCAGGGGGAAATTTTCTTCAGTTTACTAATTCTTCTCAGGTGCTATCTTGCAAAGTGCAGTGAAGTGAAAGGAGTATTAATGTTAACTTACAATGTCTTCCCTGGTAAGTAGACCACAACTACCTAAAGAACCAAAACTGACCTGCTTATATTGAGGTATTCAAATATGACTGGACAAGGGCTAGTTTGATTATAAAAAAAAAAAAAAAAAAAACTCCAAATCAAGCATTTTCTAGACTTCTCCAAATCTCCTTGTAGATCCTCAGGTTTCTATTGCTTGAAGAACCTCTCGGTGTTATTCTGAAGGTGGGTCCACACAGATTCTGACACCAAAGAAATATCATTAGCCAATTAACATTATCTGGTCAGATTATAATTTCACCAACATCCATTTTTCTCTCCATTCATCCATTTTCAAACTTCATATTTTTTTATAGAAATTACCCTCCCAGGCCAAAAAAATGAATAAACAACAATTTATCAATTTGTTGCCAAAGAGTTTTAGGTATCTAATTTCACTCTTGCCTTTTCTGATGAACTTCTTCACATCTAACAATGTTATCAGGTAACAACTCTCAGCTGTTATCTTTATAACAAACATGAACTCTCTAATTGTAAGAATTTCCACAGATACTTTTTGAGCTATTTCTGTTTTCTTTAAGCAGATATTTTTTCTCTCAGAGTTTATGCTATCTTTTATCATCTGGTCAAGCTATCTCAGCCATAACTTGTTCACATCATAAAAGAATCATCCTGTATTTGAGCACAGTTAGTTGATATGTTCTTGGTGGTTAGCCAACATGGGTATGACTATGGTTATGTGTTCAGAGTAAGTCGCTAGCTAGCTCATGTTTAGCACATCTGCAGTATCCACCAAAAAACATTCACTGTTGGCAAATTATTTCTGATATAACTGCTAGTTCACCATATAATTGTTTTTTTTTTTGTGGGATAATTTTTCCATGAGAAGTTCTATGTGGGTGTATGCCCCAATCCAGCTTCAATTTTAAGATCACACTGTCCATGCTATTTTACCATACAAAAGAACTTATTCAAAAGTGACTTGAAAAATACTGTATTTAAGATCATCTAATAGGTTTGATTTCCAGACAACATTTAGGGAAATCCATGCATTAGCTATGTGTATTTTTACATATTTTTCAATGGAGAGTGCATAGAGTGTCTTTTTTGGCTTTACATAATGACCAGTATCTTGCTCAGCAGTTTTGTTGCATTGGCAATGGGATTAGCAATCAGGGTTGGGTCATCTGCATAGTCTGTGTTGGTGAACTTTTTACCTAGGTATCTACTGGATGACTGTTCTAAAAAAGTAAATCCTAATTCAATGAGTGTATCAAGAGATATTTCAAATACACAGTCTAAGATGATAACAAAAAGGAATGGTACAAGTTTATCAACCTGTATGATGCCATCCTAAATATCAAAGAAATCAGTATCTCTATTAGGATATCTGACCATATTATTTGGTCTTATTATATAGCATCATTATGGCAGCAACTGTCATCAGAAATTACATAGACTGAGAGAATCTTTCTCCTTTTGCCAGTGTCAAAAGCTTTGGAAAAATCTACAAACAGTAAGACTACTCTGTCCTGACACCTTCAATAATGCACCTGTCAGGATTTATCCAGCTGTTTACCTGTTTTTTTCTGAGTTTATTTTGATTTATTTACAATATCCTTTTAATTTCTGGATGTATATAACTTAAAAGTGAGAAATTGCATGTTTTTGCTGGTATAGCTGTCAAAATGATGTCTTGATAATCTTTTGGCAATATGAAAATACAATCTTCAGTTCATTTTGTTTTAATTTTGATTGTAGACCAGATTCCAGGAATCTAAGAGAATGTCATTAAACTCTTAGTTTTCCAGGCCTCAGGTAGAATATTACTTAGCCAGAATGCTTTTGGAGGTTTCAAAACTTCAGCTGACATAGCCCAATGAATAAAGACATTGGTCAATTGATCCTAAAAGTGACTTGACCCAAAGAGTTGTGAGTCCAATCCCTGGTCTCAGCAAAAAAAAAAACTTGGAAGGAGAAAGAACAAAAACTTATCAAAGTGAATTAACTAATACTGAAATATCCAAAGGCATGGACTAAATAAAAACTGTTTCAAAATTCCAACAAGTATCTCCTGAAGAAGGCCAAAGCATAACACATCCAAAACATTGTTAATGTGACAATAAAGATCAAGACAACAGTTCGGGCTGTGTAAATAAATACGATCTCATCTCAGAAATATAAACAGATGCTAAAGAATAGATACACACCTGATATACCAAAAATATGGAGACAGTTAGAAAAGTCCCAACAGAAGCTGGCATGAATGTTGAGAACATCTGACATTCCTACAGATACAGAAAGTTAATATTTATTCCTTCAGGCTTGGCACCAAGACTTCCAGGAGAACCTGTCTGGTACCAGAAAAAAAAAAAAAAAAGCAGCAGTTCATGCCCTTGTCCAAGAAATAAATCCAGCACAACTGTTGAATAAGACATCAGTTACAACCTGATATTTCCAAGAGGCTTACGGCTTTCTTTGATATAATCCCAGACAAAGATCAAAACAGAATCCAGCATGACTGGAAAGTGATGCAGTACAGAAATTGAACAAGTTGAAAAATCAGAACATGACACACAATGTCCATCAAACCCCCACCACCCACAGTGAAGTCAGTAATCAACATCTGTTAACACCAGTTGAGTACCCCTGAGGATTTCATAATGAACAAGGGTCCCAACTTTGCAATAACCATCAAGCAAATATCATAATTATACATCACAGCCCCAATCGAGGAAATACCCTTGAACATTCCCCAGATGTGATAAGATGGAAAGCAAGACAGATACTGAAGAAAGTCAAACCTCCCAAAACAAGAGAGGTTGGCAATCAAAACCAAACAGAGGAATGACAGTATCATCATACTACTTGCTGACAATGGCAATGCAACTGTAGTGATGGACAAAATACAGGAAAACTGGAAGACCTCAGTAGAAATGGTAGCTATAATAAAAAAAGGACCCAACAATGAAACAGAAATAAAACTGTTGCAGATCCTAATCAAGAAATAGAACCACTTCCCACCTAAGACATACAGGCAGTTATCACAATAGCAAGCTACCTCATATATACAATCTCACGAAAATTCACAAAGACTGTATTCCTCTCAGGCCAATTGTTAGCTGCCAAGGTTTTCCATAACACCATGGAGGAGGCACTGTTAGGGATAGACTGGCCTTGGCTCATCTCTAAGAGAACATATGAGTATACCAATAGATAACCTGATGGAGATGCTGACTTTCTGTATACAAATAACAATTTGAAATGGGATCAGACATATAAACAGAATGAAGGCTCTGTGATGGGCTCAACAATATCACCAACAATGGCTAATACATACATGAAATACTTTGAGGAAATGGCATTAGAATCAACATTACTGAAGCCAACTGTATGGTTGAGATAAGTAGATGACACATTCATACTCTGGTCCTACTAGTAAGATGTCTAGCTACATCTAGACCATGTGAACTCACAATGAAAAAAAAAAAAAAGACAATAAACACGCCTTCCTGGATGTACTAATATCTCGAACAAAGTATGGGTTGAATACTACATGCCAATATTCACCAGGCAATACCTCAATTTCAACTCCCACCACCTATATAGGTGTTAAGAAAACAACATTAAACAAAAGTCATTAAGTGGTGACCCAGAGACATATGAACAAGAAATGGTCAGTACAAGCAATACTCTACAATTTAACAAGTACACTGGGAACATGACAGCATCCCCCCCCCCAGAGATAGAAGAGTACAAGATGATAACATCCAGAAAAAAGCCATGATCTGCCTACCCTATGTAAAAGGCTGATTGAAAAAGATACAAAAGATTTTTGATTCTCATGACATCAGTACAACCTTCAGGAGTTGTTCAACACTATGCAGACATCTCTTTCAAATAAGACTGTCCATAGAAGAGAAGATGACTAAGAACTGTGTGTACTCCATCCCATGCAGCTGTGGCAAGAAATATAAAGGAGAAAAATGCTGACTCCTTAAGATAAGACTACAGGAACACTGTAAGTTTCCCAAATTCACTAACATTGGTCGATTGATCCTAAAAGTGTCTTGACCTAAAAAGTGGTGAGTTCAATCCCTGGTCTCAACAGAGAGAACAAAAACTTATCAAGGCTAATTAACTAATAATATATATATCCAAAGGGATGGTATGTGGAATTAGAACAAGCTACCCCTGTTGACTGACAGCAAGGCTAGGTAGTTCAGTTTGAAATTCCATCAAATATCAGTACAGCAGCAGAAACATTGTGAATGTGATAACAAAGATGAGGACAACAATTTGAACAAAAAAACAAAAACAAAAAAAAACAAACAAACAAACAAACAAAATTAAAATACCAGTCAGCTCTTTCCAAAAAATTTTAGGAATTCATTGAGAAAGATCTGAACCCTCAAATTGACTGGAAAATTATAGGTTTTGCTCATACTCCTAATAATTAAGAGTAGGTGTAACCTATGTTTAAAAGAGAAAATTAGAATAAAATTCAATAATCAAAGCAAACTATTAAATCAAAGGAATGAATTAGTTTCTAAATGTTGACACAGAAGTAGGTTTAAACTTATCTAATACATTCTTGATCTTTCTTAACCTTTACTTATCTAACTCATCTAATGTTATACTTTTTACTACATTTTTTCTATATTTTACCTTCTCCCTATCAATCTTCCACTATTTTATGAACCCCACCTTTCCTTTGGTTTTCTATCCTTTTAATTTTTTTTTAAAAGGTTCTTTTAAAGATTTTTTTATGCAGTGTATGGTCAGTATTCTTAGTAATTTATTTTATCTTTAAATTTGTATATGGTAAATATTTTATGTTTATTTTTAATCTCCATGTTTTACTCACTTTTTTTTTTTTTTTTTACTTCATTTCTTTTGGCATATTTTCACATCTTTAAAATTTTTTTAAATAAAAAAAAGGAAAATTTTTTTTAATTGTTAATTTTAATTATTATATATTTTTATTTAAATTTATTTTAATTATTGATTTTTTTATTTTTATATATATATATATATATATATATATATATATATATATATATATATATATATATATATATATTTATATTTTTTTCATAACATAAACTAATTATGATTGATGGTTAATTTTGTATTTGCTAGCATTTTTGGTAATTTTTTAAAGGAAAAAAATATTTTTGGTAATTTTAAAGTAAAAAAATTTTTGGGTTTTTGTTATATTACTAATAATTTCAGTTTTTAACTTCCTTTTTTTTCTGGCCTTACTTTAATTTCCCTTTGATTCTTTTTCATAAGCCCTACATGAGGTGTTAGAGTTAATATCTAGGTCAAATTTGTATAAATTTTTTCTCCATTTAAGCCAGACAACATCCACCTTCCCTTACCACCACTCTGACTTTTTGTCTGGTTAGCTCAATATCTTATATTTTCAATGGTTGCCACTTTTTTTAAATATTTAATTTTAAGTTTCTAACATTATATCTGCCCACCATTTGAATCGAAAAATGCATAGACGTTAGTTGATATAGTCCATTCTCATGAAGTAATTTTGGATTTCTCTATTATGTAATTTATACACTCTGTTAAAATAAATACACTGAGCTCTTTTTGTGGATCAGTTTTAATATTTTATATTAGGATCCACTTGCATTATATACCAACAGATTTATTATCTGAACTATATATACATATAAAATGAACACAAACACAGATTTATGGTTTTTTATATTAACATCTTAATTTCTGATCAAATTTCTCTTTTAGACTTTTAGTTCAAAACAGTGATTTTTACTTAAAGAAAAAGAAAAAAGAACAGTCCTGAAGGTAATTCTGGAGTACTAGTAACACCCAAACTACCTATACCTAGTCTTGCTCTCAAATTATTTAACACCAACTTATCAAGTTAACTCTCATCCCGTTATGTAGATTCACTTGTAAAATCCACACCAGTAACTGTTACACCAAACCACATAGCAAGACAACACCATTCCCTCCAAAATCTTTTTTTTCTCTTCAAGTGAAAATTTTATAATCTGGCATTCAAATTCCAATATGCTTAATATCTTCCATATATAAAAGAAAAAAAATCACTTCAAATATTAAGAAAAATATTTTAAAATTTTAGGATAATTTTTTTTTTTTTACCTGTCTTGGTCCAAACCACATGTTTGCAATTTCCCGATGACGTTTGAATTCAATTGCAAGATTGGGCATAAGAATCTGGGTTGAGAAAATAAATTTGTTGATTCAAGTCACAACTCTCAATAAAGCCACAAAAGGTTATACATTAAAATAAATTTTAATTCTACAGTCACCATTAAATTCTTTCTTTAGTTAAGTGACAAAAGGATACAAAATAATTTAAAAGATCATATATAGTCATAATTATAAAAATTTTATGTTAGAAAATCATGATCAACACAATTACAAAACATGTACATAGATTTGTATCAAACAAGAGTTTCACTACATAATGCTGACTTCAGGATACATATCCATTAAAAGATGGTTACAGCAAGAAGTAGCAACTTCACTGCATAATCAGAACTTTAGATAGTGTAATAAAGCAAGGATTTAACTTGTGTCATATATGTGTATATAGCTACAAATGAAGGAAAAGGTTGTAACAAACATTGTATAATAATTCTGCTTGATCCTTCCTTCGTTAGTTAATTTACACAACTGTTATGCCCTGCCAATACTTCATAAATAATGGACTATTCTGTTTTGACTGTGTAAAAGGATAGAAATGACCTATCAGAGATGCTACTTAGTTTCAGTGAGAAAATGAAAGAAAGAAAGGAAGGAAGGAAGGTAGAAGTGTTTAATAATTAGGTTTCATCAGAAAATTCAAATAAAAAAACCATGGCATCCCTTCATTAGTTTGCATGCAATTAGTTTGCATTGCCATTACTATAGTATTGCTGATTCTGCTGTCAAAAATCAAGGAGATATAAACTATGAAATAATATAATTGTAATTATGCTATAAAAGCACTCATTTAAAATTTTTTAGATCCCATGAAGTTAGGAATCATCAAAATTATTAATTTCAATGAAAAACAGTAAAACCATGGAATTTCTACAAGTACTGCTAGTTTCTCTAATTAAAAGTAAGCATTTCTGATTCCAAATGGTTCACAGCAATAAATACTTAGCTACACCTGTCAAAAAAGACATATTTTACAAAAGTAGGACCTCCCACAAATGAGTAAATCGTTGACTCTCTGAGCTTTCAAAACAGCCAATCTGTAGATCCTCAATAAGAGCATATTTTCAAATCACTTAATATACATTGCCTCAACTGACTACAAATTTTTACTGATTTTTCCACACACATTGCACTGACACAAGTAAAAAAAAAAAGAAAATTCTTTATGCAATATATGTACTGGCTAAAATAAAGTATATTGCTTGTGAAGTTTGATTTATAAATCATTGCTCTCCGTTTCTTACTGTTAAGATATATATATAAATAAAAACAAACAAACAATTAATGCTCACTATAACAGCAACTATAGTTATATTGATAATGGTATATCAATAATGCAATTTTTTCTACCAATTTCCATAAAATTTATATAAAAAGACTTTACTAATGATAACCTATGAATTAAAAACTGAAGACTATTAAGATAGTTTTGACATTAAAGTATTCCTATGCGCATATCTTTACAACATCATGAAACATCTGTAAACCTTCAATACTTACAGCTTCAGCATATTCACTTTCAAAAAATCCAAATGGAGCAGGTCCATAGACAGAAATTGAGACAAGAAACACAACAATTTGCACAAAAGTAACCCAGTAAGTGAAATAAGGCCTGAAAAAGACAAATCAAATATAGTAGCTAATTATTACTATTATTTACTTTGTTTAATTAGAATGTTAAAAGAAATTTTTGTTTAAGCCTATTAATAATATTATGGCTTCATAAAATCAGATTAATCCTCCAGGATTTTCAGTTTATAATTACAGGAATTATTAAAAGTCTGATGATATTGGAAACAAGGCAATTTGTCTACAATATGACAAGCTGCAGCAATAGATGAAGAAAAAAGAAATTATTAAATAAAATACCAGCCAGTGAGAGTCATATATGAAACCTTTAAGATATACAATTGGACTGACATTTTTAACAAACAAAAGATAATTGAAAGTATCAGTTGAGATGTATAGAAAAAAGTAAAAGCTTTTGTTTTATAATCTTAACCCAATGTTTGTTAAGGTACCTCTGTGATATTAACTAGAAACCCTTTTGTAACAGAGAGAGGTTGATGCACATGAATGCACACACGCATATATAACGTTTATTGATTGAAGATGGAAAACACGATCTTCCGTGAAAGTTACAAACTGTGTCAGCACTATTAATAGGAAAGAATCTAGAACAATGATATATGAAACCTGAGACGGTTGATGGATAAAGAATAAATTTCAAATCGGGTTGGTGAGGACTTGTTTATAAACAAATGCAAAAGGGCAGGAGGCGATGTTTAATTTGGGTCATTAAAAAAAAAAGATGAAAATAACATTTTTGATAAAAACATATTGAAGTAAATTGGTCCCGGGAGATAAGATCAGTGTATGTTTACCACTAGCAGAATCTGATCTAAACATAAGTTGTATCCACTGAATTTGGTCATCGAAAAGACAATTGAAATGAACATTGAACTAATTAATTTTATCCACTAAGAGATTTGAAATAGATCTGAATTTAAACTTTGCTTATGGTGACACTCGTGTTAAGCGCGTGAACAACTTGGCTTATAACCTTCGGTTTGCTATATAAACGCGAGTTTTGCTGAGTTGGAGAGACTTGGGCATTAGACGAGAGTGATGTTGAGAGAGAGAGACAGTCGTTGCAGTGAGTCGGTCCAGTGGCGAGTCAGAGATAAGGACTTCAAGAAATATCATCATCGTCGTAGCAGTCGCACTGAAAAGTTGCTGAAACCTAATGTTTGTCACTTATGACAACCAACTGAAAAGCTACACTTCCACATAGGGCTGGAATTACGAGTCACATATCCTCCCAAGTTGATTTGGAACGAGTTAATCACACACACACCTCTCTCTGTTGGTATAATTGGTAGAGGAGTGGTCCTCTGTTCTTGTGTTAATTGCTTTTCTATCCTTTCTGTAAACTCTTTTCTACTGTTGTTGTTTTCTTATATAAAAGACATCAATATTTTACCCATTGTAGTTCGGCTTCTGCAAATATTATTTCCTTGTTTGCCACATTCTAATTTTCCTGCCACCCACCCTCACAGCTGTGTCTACATCCCCAATTGACCGTGAACGTATGGATAACACCCCACTTACTGGATCTAAAAACTAACACAACGTGGGCAGCAGGCGGAACTTGGCCAGTGACCGGTCGAACAATCTACGGGTACTCAGGGAGCATGCGGCCAGCTACCCCTGAGTTCGGTTCAGACCGAGTGGGCGCCTCAACCCAAAGAGGAAGATGCTGGAGGTCGAGGGGCTGAAGGGACGAGTGGTAGATTTTCATTTATTATGTTTCTATACATATCTAACAAACAGCTATACATTGTTTACTCATATAATTTTTAAAGGATTTCATTACTTTGCAATATTTTATGAAAAATTGGGTACAAGTACTTTTTAATAAATATCTAATTAAAAAGTTGGAAAGATGTTTGTGAAACAATTAAAATTATATTGAAAGGTTAAAAGCAACAACGGTTTCTATTTATATTTAAAAAATCAGTTTCTAAAATTAAAAAGAACTAGAAATTGACCTATAGCTGCAAGAAAATGCAGGAATCTTTTCAGAAACATATCTTACAGAATCAATAAATAAAATAATTATATTTATGAAAACAGATCAAGTATTCAAAAACAATTCACCTATCACCCATGAATATTGATAAAAAAAGATACAAATACTAAAATTTTACATTTATCAACAGATATTAAATTCAAAATATTTAGATGCTTTTTTTTAAAAAAAAATGAAATCAGTTAAGAAATTTTTATTTGTCTCATTACAGATTTTTTTCTAAATAAAGATGTTGAAAAATTTTGAAAAGAAAATTGCAGATTCAGAAAATAATGATTACAAAGATTATTTCAGTTGGTTATAATGAATTAATACAACAGTGCAAAGGCCTCATTTCTATCAAATTGAAATAAATCAAATTGTAAGCAATACCTGTTCTAAGTGTATATGAAAAGCAACTTCAACTTTTTTTAAGAAAATCTATACTTTATTTTTTTGTACAGTTTAGTATTATAGGGAAAATTACTTATACAATAAATAAAATAATCCAATAAACTTTGGAAGCTAAAAAAAGAAAAAAAAATGATTTTGTCATACCTATGGTCATCAAATTCATTTATTTGTTGTTTCACATCAGAAGTTAGTCTGTCACTACGTATACTCCTGTGCATAATGCGACCTATAAGCCCCATTCCAAGCTGCCTCTTTCCCCGTTTCTCCAGAACTTTATTCATAACACTATTACGAATTTTACTAAGGCCAACTCCAGCATCTACAGTGTCCAAATCTTCAGAAGGTAGTGATGTTGTTGGTTGTTGATAATAATCTTTCACAGGTCTAATAAAAAATAAAAAAAATAAAATAAAATGTATACGATGAATGATGACAAATTGCAAAAATAAGCAGAAACAGACCATTTAAAGCATTAGTAAAGTTAAGGTGTCAAGGTGTAAGAAACACAATTCAAAGCTACAAGATTGTCTCTCTTGAGGTCAATTTTTGTTTTTTTAATACATACATAGAAAAAAAAATTTGCTCTTTAAGTTTCTAATATACATATTTTATTTCTAAGTATTCTCCACCTACCTATAATCCAAGAATCTAATTAAAAAAAAAAAATAGTCATTTTCAAAGTGGATCCATTTTCCATGCACACAGGGGGCTAGATCCACAAATTTCCTTTGGGATATCTCGGGTATCAAGGATTAACCCCAATCTTAACTCTTTCAGTGCTACAAAAACATGCTAACTCTTATACTTCTTGGCCTGGCTATCTATGATCATGGTTCTGCATAAATCAGGGGCTTTCTAATATCAATACCAAAATATAAATCTGAAAAAAAAAAAAAAAAAAAACAAAGGAAATCAGTTGTAATTAGTTTTTGATATTCATAAAAAAATTGTTACTAATGGCTTTACTACCAATTAAGTTAGGAGTAAATATACATTAATATACAATCTAGAAAATTTGCTTAATCTATTCAATAATTACATCATTATTATTACACCTTAAAACATTGATAATCAAACAAAAGGTTAACTTTAAATTAATGAATTTCATAATTCAGAAATATTTAGAGAACATTTTTCAGACACAATTAGAAAGACAAGATGAAATCAAAGTTTATATAAAATGTCAACAGATTAGAATACAACTAACATCCAGCAATACTAATAATCTCAACTAATATTAATATGAATATACATCAACAGTGGAAAAACTTGTGAACTCAGCCTCTGTGTAGTAGGTGTGGCTTGTTAACATTGTGTAAGCTGAGCATGCATTCTTTTTCAAACCTATATGTACAGAGGCCACAAAGTAATCAAATTCTCCAAACCAACCACTATCCAATTTCCTAATGAAATAAAAGTACATTCTTGTTTTTGACCACTGGCAAAGACAATTACTAAATGGTAAGAAATTTGACCATTGGCAAGGATTTGGAGGACTTTAATAACCAGCTATTTGGCTATTTTGAATTATGTCTGATAAGAAACAAACTGGAGTTTGATGGCTTATATTCCAACCAGTTTATTATCAAATGAATCAAGTTGAGTTAATGCATAACTTATGCATGGTGAAAAAAGTTCAAGTGTATCCACTGAGTCTACCAGTAGTTAAGCAAAGATAGAAACAATATCAGCTGAATAAAGAAGTAGTACAATACAGACTCTTTCATTAGCATATAAACAGTTCAGTAGTGCTTGTGTCTAGGAGAGTCCACTGATTTCACCAAGCTGCGATAACTGGCAATTCTGTTTAGTGTTATGTCAGTGTGGTGTGCACATTCATTGGAGGATTGCCAGATCATGTCAGGCAGTACCCTCATGTTTCCTTTTGCATAGATGCTATAAATATTGATCAACTGTTGGCTTGCTGACTTGGGCTGTATTGAAGGATGAGATGGCTGGAATGGGATCTATTGCAGCAGCTATATGACCAGTATACATGGCATTGTAAAATGAGAAAACAAAAAAAGAAAAAAGTGCTAAGATTATGTGTGTGTGCTTATAAGTTTTTAACAAAAACCAAATATATAGCAAAAGATTGAGTCAAGAAAGAAATGTGACTCTAAGAGGATCACAGGAAAAAGGGGCAGAGAAATGTATGCGCTGTGTTTTGTTGCAAAAACTTCCCAAGAAATTAACTGAAATAAGACATCAGCACCAGTCTATTCCCAGGTAAGATGTGACCAAGTTTCAAATTAATGGAAAATGTTCCACAGCTCTAATTGATTCAGGATACTCTCACTCAATTTTGAGCAAGATGTGCTATACATAGGGAAAAGAAGGATATGAACATGGTAACAATGGAGGTACTCATACATGTTGTAGAGTCAGCATAATCAAATTTACTGTGGTCAATGGAAAATTTGTTGAAGTTGATGTCTAGCTAGTATTCAGTCTATTGGCTGAGATTAAAGTAATCAACATAATGGGTAATACACAGGTAGAGTCAGGACATGCCAATTCAGATAGATAAGCCAAATTTTTGTTTGATCAATTGTAGAACATTTGGACTGCAATGTGGAAACAGCTGGAAAATCATGCATCAGAAGACTTACAAAATAGTGTTGAGTACACAGTGTTCAACCAAATCAGGGACAATTATGGGAATAAACTCTAAATTTGGAAAGATAAAGGCTAGTTATTACCTTACCCTAAAGAGAAACTTAAATGTCCCAAATGTTTGATACTGCTGATGGCCATGGGTCAGCATAAGTTGAAGGTATACTCAGTTGTGGATGACAGGGAACTTAATAGTCATGTTGATACATTCATAGCCAACATAGACATCTGTGCAGCCAAATTAAAACAGTGGTGTCAACAGGGTTAAAATAAGTCAATATTAGATTGGAGGAAAGTATATATGCAGATGCATAACATGACTGGGATTCATTCTTAATATGGTACTAATGATAATGGCATAAATCATTAATGCTACACTATTTCAAAAGGAATTTGTAAAAAGAGCTAAAGTACTGAACTTGAAGTTCTGCTTGGATAATAGCACTCTGGCAACTGGCCCTATCACCTGCTTGTATTATAGTCCTTTTGCTTGTCTCCAATTCACTGAAGAAAATACATTGCAGGAGTCAGTTCTTAGGAATGCTGCCAGTGAATTAGTTTAAATTAGACAGGGCGAGAAGGAAACGCTGACAGAACTAGCTAATAGAGTTGGCCAAAATAGTCTTTAAGAATGCTGTAGTGAGAGAAGGGGAAGCTGTTCAAACCCAACTGGTGGAGTATTACACAGACCCAATTAGAAACACATTTGTCAGGACAGATACAGTCAGGGCAAACCTCACAACACTTGCAGAAGAATTTACAGTGGCACAAAGGAGTCACAGACTGTTTGAGAGACTAGGATCTTCCCAAAGGCACATATGGGGATGGCCCATCAAAGAAAGAGAGAAACCAGGTCTCAAATAAAAGAGGACAGTGGGGCCATGGTCAATCCCATACTAGTTGTAGTAAAAGGGGCCACTCACCTGAGAAGAATAAACATAAACCATCTAGGTCTCAGATGAATGGTTTTTTGGGAGTGTGGACAGTGTAGTCATTTAAGGAATGACTGTAACCAGAGGAGGTGTGTATTCGCTCTGTTCAGTCACAAAGCCAATGTAACAGGTAAGGCAACAGTGGTGGGTAAAGGAAATTAAGATATTAATAGATACAGGGACATCCATGTCAATAATTAGATCTAGGGTTTATTTTAAACTAGGATTTAGGAAAAAACAAGTTAGAGGTTACAAAAGTAAAAATATTTCAGGCAGAAGGGAAATTAAGATATCAAGAGTAGTACACCTTCCTGTAGAGGTTTGAGGAGCAGTCATGGTGCCGCAAATGTATTTGACACCCACCCTGTGTAGATCCATGATACTAGGTAGAGATTGGCTTCAAAGTAATGAAGCACAAATAAGCCTTGACCAAAGAAATAGCCATAACAGCTACCAGGGATGTTATTTTATGGCTGCACATGGCTATTACTTGTAATGGAGGCTTTCTCCAGCTGGGGAATTAGAAGGAAGGGAAATGTATCAGGTTTCCCAAATGAATGAATTTCATTTTGGAGAGGGGGAATTAGTTCTAATGGAATCCATAGTGAAAGATGATGATACAGGTTGCATCCTAATAATGCTAGCTAACACTACTAATACAACAATAAGGGTTCACAAAGGAGAGAAAGTGAGGGGGGGGGGGCTATACCAGCTATTATGAAGGGGGAGATATTAGCTCCACATATGCACAAGGGGAGTATCCTTATGATTTATAAGGGACAATAGAGATGTAGTATCTGACCCAGGTAATCACCTGCTTATAAAGGGCTGTTGGGGATATGCTGGATGCAGGGATAATAGAATGCTTCACACCACTGTGGAGCTTCCCACTTCCCAGTGGTAGTGGTTAAAAAAAAATGTATGTAGGACACAGGTTCTGTGTTGATTTTATATATGTGTATTTTGATCAGACATTTTTTTTTTACTCCTGTGCGAGTTCTGTTGCAAATTGTTGCAACTTGTGGTGAAAGAAGAAATCACTCCTGAGAAAATTCCTTCTTTTATAAAAAAGTCTTAAACTGTGTATTTATTTATTTATCTAGAACAACTAAATTGTACAGTTTTTCATACATGAAATACAAGTATATAATGTTAACAAAATTAAATACATGATCTACAAGTATATAATGCTGTGCACTTATGATTCTTTTCCATTGGAAATTTTACACATCAATGTACTCATATCTACAGAAGTCATGAGCTCTATCTCTGAGAAGGCCTGATCAAAAATACAGTAGGTGAAAATCAAAAGCATATAATTTCTGGAAGGTCATCGTGAATGTTTAGTAGAAGAGAAGTGATTTAATAACTGATAGCTTTCTTAGCAAGTAGCCAAAAGTTCACTTTTGTTACATCACATACGTTAAAATAAAAAACATAAGTTAAAAAAGAATTCATTAAGTTGAATGATTTGACGATAGAGTCTTTACTGTACTTTGCCTATTCTCCAAACTTCCTACAGGTTATGTTTTTTTCTTTTAAAGCATATAGGTTATTTCTGTACAGAAAAGAACTTTTCCAATTAGGATCAAATAAGCCTTTACAGGACAAAGGAATATAATGTGATCAAATAAACAACTTTTTCTTTGAATTTTTAATTTTATTTTGTCTAAATTATCAATTTCCTGCTGAATCTGATATTTACTTACAGTCGTTCTGTTAAAGGTAAACCATCAGATGAATCTTCTTCAGGGATCTTATCCAATGTCTTTACAGTGTCTATTACTGGGGGTTCATCAAAAAATACATCATCTACAAGACTTGATGTATCTTCTGTGGGTGGGGCCTGCAAAAGATGCAGAATACTCTCTATATATATATATATATATAGATATATACACATGCATACACACAAATAAAAATTATAAAAGTAAGTTTTCATACTCACATAATTGAAGATACTATTATATGCTTAACTTATCTTCAATATGAAGTCACCATTATTTGCAAAAAATGGTTTATGGACTAATAATAATAATAATAGCATGTTACTATTCTTTGATAATTTTATGATGAAATAATGTAAAAATGCCCCTTAGTGGATTAACTCAGTGCCTAGGGAATAGAACTGCATGTGAAAAAGTAAAGCTTTTGAATTATATACCCACTGTCTTATTTTGTAATTATATGCCTGCAAACATTAAGCAAAGACACAGTCAAGAAAGTTATCTACAGGGTGATTGAAAAGTAACTTCTTATTTTATGTATGAGTGGCCAGCCAGAAGTCCTGACTAAACACCCTGTGACTTTTTTTCTTTGCGGTTGGTTAAAGGAGCAAGTTTACTATACCAAATCAAGACTTTGGAAGAACTTGATGGGCAAATACAAGAAGTTATGTCTTCCATACAACAAGAGTTCCTGGTGAAATCAGTTGTTATGATTTCTGGGCAGCTCAAGAAACTAGTAGCAAAATCTCAAATTTTAAATAAAACCTCATGCTTTCTTCTCATATCCATTTCTTGTAAAAATTGTAGTTAATAAATTATAAGTATTTTAAAATCAGGAGTTATTTTTCAATCACCCTGTAGTTTTAACCAGATCACTTGATAATCATATCAAACATACAATGTAAGGTAATTTCCTGTTTTTTTAATCACCAAAATGAAAAGTAATCTGTCTGTAAGTAAATGTATCTTCACCAAAAATATAAAATCACTTAGTTTTCAAAATTCAACAATGATCAAATTACACATTTTAAGATTTAAAAAGGCCATCGTTAATGTTTTCTATAAGAAGCCATACTACTAACGATGATTAGTATATGCACTTGAAACACCACTAGTATGCATTTTGTGCAAAATAGAAGTATAATATACAGTATTCTATAAGCTACTTAAAATTTACACATAAAAACCAACAAAAAAAAAAAACAAAAACAAAAAAAACAATTTTAAATTCTTATCACCTTAACACAAAAAAAAGCAGTAAATTTAATTTTGAGTATATATGCCTCCATTACATTGGGATTATTAATATAGTAGTTAATATTTTATTGCTAGCATTTTTATAATGTTGAAATCAATGATAATATCAGCACAATATTTTTTTTTACGATTACAAGTTTTTATAAAAAGGCAATTTTCATTAAAGCTGAAGATATATTTTTCAATAAATTCAAAATAAACATTTTGTATGTGTCATGTCCCTTCAGAACATAGGTGATCATGGCTTTCCACAACTTACTATCCCTTGTAGCTCTTAATAAACTTTGTCTTTCTGTTATTGCTCCTAAGCCCCATTCTGCCATCAAGATCACTAGATATTTTATGCATCATTTTCCTCTGTCCCACTTGTACTCAATCTGTCCTGTGAGTATCAGCTTTTCCATGATGTTAAGTATTAGTTTCCTTTTTGTTTCCATTTTCTCTAAAATATTATTGTTGCTCAGATGTTCAGTCCATAGTATCCTCAGCATCCTACTGTAGAACAATACTTCTGTTGCTTCAAGTTTTCTCTTCATCCTTGAGATCATCCAGCACTCACTGTCATACTGGAGAGCAGATATCAGATATCACAGTTTACAGACCAATGTATTTAAAAAACAATGTATTTAAAAAAATGTATTCATTCTCATTAGCATCCCCTTACCTGTAATGTCCCAATACTAACTTCATCATCTCCATAGAAACTGGCAGGTGCATAACTTCTACTCTGACATGCTGCTTGACTGAATCGAGCTGGTTTTCTTGCCGCCTAAATAAACAATTTACAAAAGACAAGTAGAAGATGAAAATTTGAAGACACAGTTAAAATTAATAGAATCTAATTCCAATCAATTACATATTCCTTGAATTTAAATCTTTTGTTAGCAACCAAAATATTTTTCTTTAGAAACATTTCAGTAGAATTCAAAGACATTTTCAAATTAATAACTTCAACTTTGTTTTATAGGTCATATGGCATAAGTTTATAGATTTTTGGGACCTGCTACAATCATTCACTAGCAAAATCTTGAAATGTATTATAAATGATAGGTAAGAAACTGACAATTTAGTTTAATGCTTAGATGAACATCAGGTGTATAATAAAACCCCAGGTTGTATTTTAAGACATATAGAGTCCATGATCATTAAGCCAGAAGATTGATAATAAAGCAGGTATTTGTTCTTACACCTACACTTGGTATACAATTGTGGCCTTTTTCTTATTATTCAATATTCTATCCCACTGAAGGAATTCTAAAATGTATTAGGTTTCTTCCAGGCACAATACACACAATGCTTTTCTTAATATTTTCTATTCTATAACATCAGCAATCCAGGGCCATATCCTTGGTTCCAGTCACCAATTAATATAACCCTTTTTACCACTCCTACATACGGTCATTTAACCACGTTTAGTGGTCTAGTCCTCAGGGTCTTAGAATGACGTTTTAACCATGAGGCTAATTCTGCATTGGTCAATGCTGATGCTGGTCCAAGCTGGCTGTTGGTCACTAGCTATTTCAATCCACATCAACTCTGCCCATGTTATGTTCTTGATCTCAGAGCAGTGGAAAACCAAATATTGTAATATCACAGTGTTTGTTCAAGCCGTGACAGGAAGAAAAATATCTTCACACTGAAAAATGAAGGAGATTCATGGGGTTAATCTTTATTTCATATAGCTCTTGGTAAAACAAAAATTAAACCTTTCCACATCAATCTCTATAGTGAAACTTGGCCTTGTCTAAACTTCTGGAGGAGCTGGGTTCAAAGTTCTTGGAATCAGGAAATCTGGTGGCAGCTGATGTTTCTTCCAGAGACACTCAATGTGGGTTCTCAGTCCAAGTCTCTGAGCTCCCAAAGTCATCTGCTTATATGCACTTCAGCCCAAAACTGGCCTGGGGACAAAGGGTTCTGGTGATTTGGTTGTTCCCCAATACATTAATCCCAATAAAGGTTTTTTTTTGTTTCCCTAATTCTGCTTTCTTAATCAACTTTCTAAATTTGGAGAATTATCCACCTTCCTTGGGAATAGTCACAGAGATTGCTCTTCCCTTAATTCCAACCTGCTTCACTTTACATCTCGCACCACCACAACACACAGGTGAGACTAAATTCTGCTTCTTCCTCATTGGTATTCTAACTCTGCCCACTTCTCAGGGCTGGCATAAGTGTCTTTGTAACAAATCTAATTTTTAAAGTGTGTAGGTGAAAGGGCATAACTTATTCTTTTTAATTTCAATTCTCTGGCTCCCTCCCACTTCCCTACTATTACCTCTGTCCAGCAAGAACACAAACCAGACCACTGCTTCTCATTTTAACCTTCCGAACAATAAAGATTGTTTCCCAATTTGTTTTTGTTAAAAATATTTGTTTACCTAAATTCACAACAAAGAGACATGCTATTTTCCATCCTTGGACCAATTGCCATCTTAGTGAAAACATAAACCAGACCACCTGCCTGTTATGACAGGATAGATTTTTATAATCCTAACCCTGGTGGCAGGTTCATTATGTTTTTATTTCACAATTCATTTTCACCAAAATATAATTCCCATCTGCCTTTCTTCTCACCAATGATATATGTTTTTCTAATTTCCCAAGAAAGAGATAAGTCATTTACCAATTTGATTACTCGTGCACCAGATTTTCGATAAATAAAAATAAAAAAGTAAACTCTTGGTGCATTGTTCCAATTCATAGGTGTGAGACAATCCAGTTGGCCATTTTTTTTAATTCCACATTACAGGATTAACATTTAACCACCTCACGATCTCGGTGTCACAATTTTACTTTTGGGGTATTTCTGCCCTCGTCTTAAATACAAATATACAGAGAGTGTCATACTACTGGCATACTGCCTCTTCCCATAAAAAAAGTTATGTGGTTATAGAATCTTTATTTCCATGACCATTCAGAAACACCATAAGAATAGGGTCTTTATGGTTGCTTGGTAGCCTACATTAGTAGTTAACATTTTTCCATACAAGCAGCAACTATTTCTATTTCTGCAGCTACAAGAAGACATTGGATTCATATCATATGAATACAGTGTCTTTATGTTAGGTCTATTTTTTTATTAGTTGGATTACATTGTTCATGCAACAATAATTTCTGATTAAATGAATGATTTGTCCATATTTATATGTTAAAATTCAACATGAAGCTGAGAGTGTTACCAAGAGTGGTGAACACCTAAACATGAAAATGGCATTTGTACTCGTATTCCACATTTAGGCTATTAAATTTAAAATGACCTAACAATGTTATATAGCATAGGTCAAAGGAGAGGTCAACTGCCAGGATCCGGCCATCCAGAAATCTAGATGACCAGAAGCTGGCAGTTGACCTCTCCCTTAACAGCTCGATGAGGTAAAAACTGGCTTTTAACATTCAACATCTCCAAAACCAAGTAACATTTCATCATTACTGAACAGACCCTGAATTTTCACCTACCATGATTGCTTCGTGCCCAGGTGAACAGGAGGAATAATAGGTGGGTTTGCAAGGAACCCACACAGATATATATAGTTACAGTGGGGGAAACAAATATTGATACACATACAAATTTTTAATTTATTGTATTTCCAACTAATGAATAAACATACTTTTCATATAATTAACTGTACACAGATGCATAATAACTAAATATGTACAGAAAAAAAAAACAGAAAAAAAATTAGATGTAATAGAAATAAATCCCATTTATCCATTTTAATGGGTGAAAAAATATTTGTACAATGCAAAATAAAATATATAATCTTCATTTAATAATTTGTAGAATAGCCATTGTTTACTTCTACAGTAACCAACATCTTTTTGTAGTTCTCAAGTAATGATTTGGAAATTTTAGTTGGTATTATTTTGTTCCATACTTCTTCACATATCACCTTCAGATCTGGGATGTTTGCTGGAGTTCTCGATTGGATTTGAATTTTCAACTTGGCCATTTGAGGATATTTACATTATTTTCAGCAAGTCATTTCTTCGTAGTGTGCTTGGGATCATTATCTTGTTGGAAGATCCAATCAGGGGGAAGTTCAAAATTTTCAACCAAAATCATTAAATTTGCTTCCAAAATATTATGATATGCTGTGGCATTTATTCTACAATTTATTACTGATATGTTGCCAGTAGTTTTTGCAAAAAAAAAAAAACATCCTCAAACCATGATGCTGCCACCACCAAATTTCACTGTTGGAACTGTTAACACTATTTTGGGTGCTGGTAATTAATAATAAGGGCTTCTGAATATCAAACAAAAATGATATACTGATAAATAAACTATCATGAAAAGGGTTAATGGATATCAAGAATGATAGACCGATAAACAATTCATTCCCAGAGAATCAAATGGCTGGCTAAGAACAATACTTAATTGTACAAAGGGCGAGGTGTTGATAATGCCCACAGCATGTCTGTGGAATCAAGATGTGGTGTGACACTATTTAGCTATGGTAATTGATTAACTAATAAAAATTAACTATAAAAATTAAACAAGAAAATACTGAGAACGGAAAAGAAGATACCCTGAGATTTTATTTTTACTTTTCTCAAGAACCCGAGAATTTGCATAAACAGTGGACTCACAAAAAAAGTCCATATGTGAGCTTTTGACAATTGATCAATGATATTTGTAAAAGTACTGGTTAAAGAAAGCCCGAGAACAAGATATTCGAAATTGCAAGATTTTAGAAGTTGACCAGGTGATGAAGCCATGTGTTGTTTGTAAGAATGTTTGGCATAGAAAGATGTTCCGAGAGATATGCGTTCAATACAGAAAGATTTTTTTTTTTTTTTTTTTTACTTTCCCAAGGAACCGAGGATTGGAATAAAAAGTAAATTCACAAAAACCGTGTGGCAAGCTTTTGACAATTGATTTATGATAATTGTAAAGAAAACACGAAATAGCTAAAAAGCATCTGAGAGATTCAAAATCACAAGATTTTAGAAGTTGGCCAAGCCACGGGGGCCATGTGTTGTTTGTAAGTCGAAAAAGGGAATTTCATAAACAACATTGATAATTCTGAATTCAGAAATCCTGAATAAACAGGGATGTCAAAAGGTTAATTAATGAAGCAAGCTCAGCCACACCTTCACAACGGAAACTCCATTGGTCAAGTGGTAGCAATGGTGATAGGCGGAGGTAAATTGGTAAGAAAGACAGAGAAATTACTAATGCCCACCAAAAGTATTTGGCATCAGGTACCAATGTGAGAAGTAAGGCGTTTAGAAGGATAGCTATCCTGCAACCTCTCTTCACCACCACCACCAAAAAAAATGGAAAGTAATTAATTTTCTAAAATGGGAAGTAATCAATTTTCCTAGCTGGACAACAAAGAGGTCTCTTGTCAGAAATAAGGAATTACTAAGAACCCCAGGCTGTATCTAACCCTGCACCAGCTTTTGGTCAATGTCCATATATATGAGCACCAGAGTCAGTTCAAGCAGTTGGAGTTAAGATCGAGCTAAATTAAGTTCGAGTTGCCTTGCAGAAGCTGACCTAGAGATTCCACGATTCCTACCTTTGACCCTATGAAACAGCAAGTTATACTGACAAACGAAGCTAAGCCAGCACCTAAAAACTAAACCAGTTGACTTAAAAACCAGAACTTGCATAGAAATATAAAAGTGTGACTCTCAAAAGAAATGGGTTGGATGGATGGATATTGGATTTAACGGCATGTCAACTCCTATTTGGGTCAATTTATGCCAAAGCCTTATTAATTTATGAATTTAAGTTGGTTATTTTGTATAAAAAGTTGAAAGGTTGTTGGGTTTCATAATTTTCTGTATTTTTTGGGATTGCTTTTTGTGACTGTTTCTGATTGTGTATTTTACTGTTTACATTCATAGATGCATATATATGTTTATAAGCACATATATATACACTATTTGAAAGGGTTATATTTTATTGAGGATTTTTATTTCCTTGAGAAAACTGTATATTTTTTCTGTCTGTATTTTTGAATATTTCTTTTAAATCTTTTCCATTGAGATATTTCTGTCTTATTCTAGTTATGATTTTGCATTCGATAGAATATGTCTTATTGTGATTAGGCTTCCATATCTACATTTTGGTGGATTTGTCTTTTTTAATATGTGAGAATGAGTTAAATATGTGTGTCCTATATGTGTTCTGGTTATGACAACTTGTTTTTTCCGAGTATTTCCAAGATCATTTCCCCATTTTCCTATTTTAGGTTTAATTTGAAATAATTTATTTCGGTTTGGTTTTTCCATAGATTTTGCCATTTGTTTCTTATGTATTTATATATTTTAGATTTTAAGTCTGTATATGGAATTTGAAGATTTTCGTCAATTGTCATTTTTAAAGATGATTTAGCAGCATTATCTGCCTTATCTCCTCCTTGGATGCCAACATGGCTAGGAATCCAGCAGAAGATGATATTTTGCTTTTTTCCATTGAATGTAGTTTATATAGAAGACTTTGTATTAATGGATTTTCCAGTCTTTTCCCTTTTAGGGATGTTAATACCGATAATGAATCTGAGAAAATAATATAGTTTTCTCCTTTGTTTTTTGATATGAAATTTAGTGCTAGTTTTATTCGCGTAGGCTTCTGCACTGAAAATTGATGCTTCATTTGGCAAGCGTTTTTGATAATTGTTTTTTTTTGTTATTGCTGCGCTGCCTGTTTTTCTTCATCTTTTGATCCATCTGTGTAAATACTTTCATAGTTTTGATATTTTTTTCTTTTATTTTTGAGAATTTTTCAATGTATGTTGTGGGGTGTTTTGATTTTGATAATTTGTTTAAACTTAATATTATGTTTGGATTTTGATTATCCATGGTGGTATGCTTGATTGGTTGGTTTTAAGTATTTGATTAGACTGTATATTATTTTCTTGGATGATTCCTTCCATCCGAGTCCCAATGTTTTGATTTTATTTGTGTTAAGATTAAATTTCTCTTTGTGATTTGGTGTAAGTACACAATCGTGTGTGGGGTTAGAAGGACAGGAAGAGAGTTTTAGATAGTATTGAGTAGCTAGTTTCTCCATTCTTAGTTGTAATGGGGTTCGTTTGCCTCTACATGTAGACTCTCTATAGGTGAGGTGGGATAGGCTCCTAGAGCTATCCGAAGGCCTTCATGGTGTATTGTGTTTATTGTTTTTAGATAAGACTTTCTAGTTGATTGGTAGACCATGCTGCCATAGTCCAGTTTGTTGCAGATCAACGTTCTATAAAGCTTAAGAAGGGTTTCTTTGCTAGCTCCCCATTCTGTATGGGCTACTGTTCGCAGTAGTTGGAGAGCTTTAAAACATTTTGTTTTTAGGTAATTGATATGTGGTCTGAAGGTCAGTTTGCTGTCAAAGATCATTCCTAGAAATTTATATTGCTGAACTACTGGTATTTCTTCATTTCCTAGTTTTAGAGTTGGGTTATTGTGTAATTTTTTCATTTGGCAGAAGTGTACAGATTTTGTCTTCGCTTTTTGATATTTTAAAACCATTTTCAAGTGTCCATTCGTTTATTTGATGTAAACATTGTTGAAGTTGTCTTTCTGCTGTGTTGAGGTTTCTTGATCTGTAATATATTGTAAAATCATCAACATAAAGGCTACAGTGTATTCTGATTTGATGTTTTTTATTATGTCATTTATTTTATTTTGAAAAGTGTAGGGAGAGTACACTTCCTGTGGTACTCCCTCTTCTTGCTTTTGATAATCAGAACGTGTAGTATCTATTTGGACTTGGAAGAGTCTATCTGTTAAAAATCCTTTTACAAAGTTTGGTAGTCGACCTCTTAATCCTAGTTTATGCAGATCTTTCATTATACCATGTTTCCAGGTTTGATCAAATGCTTTTTCTATATCAAAAAATATGGCTATTAGATGTTGTTTGTTTAAATTGGCCTCTCTTATGGCTGTTTCTAGTCTTATTATGTGATCTATTGTACTTCTTCCTTTATTATATCCACATTGATATTCTGATATGTGTTTTCCTTCTTCTAGAAACCAACTCAATCTGGCGTTGACCATTCGCTCCATTGTCTTACATAGACAGCTTGTTAATGCTATTGGTCGGTAACTTTGTGGGTTGTTTCCCTCTTTTCCTTCTTTGAGTATGGGAATAATTACCAATTCTCTCCATATTTTGGGAAATTTCCCAGTAGTCCAAATATTGTTAAAAATATTCAAAAGGTATTTCAGCGATTCTTGTGGTAGTTGTTTAATAAATTCATAGTGGATTTGGTCTGGGCCTACTGCTGTATTATGGGATTTTTTTTATGGCTTCTATTAGTTCCGCTTCAGTGAATAGGTTGTTGTAGGCTTCTGTATTTTTAGATGAAAAATTTAATTGGTTATTTATATCTTTTTGTTTACACTTTTGTAGGTTTTTATTTTTGCTCATTTTAGAGTTTTCTGCAAATGTCTCTGCTAGTAGGTTTGCTATCTCTCTTTTGCTAGTTGCTTTAGTGTTGTCCTTTTTAAGATGTATTATTGGGTGTATTTGATTTTTTCCAGCTATTTTCCTCATCATTTCCCATATTGTCTTGGTTTTAGAATGTGTATTTAGGCTGTTTACATATTTTTTCCAACATTCCCTTTTGGCTTCTTTTACAGTTTTCCGTGCTACTGCTTTGAGTTTTTTCATTTCAATCAAATTTTGGGTTGTGGGTTCCTTCTTGAATTTTTGCAATGCTGCTTCCCGGTTTCTGACTGCTTTTTGGCAGTTTTTGTCAAACCAGGGTTTAGTTTTTTTATAATTATTTTGCTTTTTTGGTATATTTTCTGAGGCAATGGTTATTAATGTTTTGGTAAAGTATTCTACCGAGTTGTCTGTGTCCTTTGACTGTATCAGTACTTGTTTACATTTGTTTTTGAAACCCTCCCAGTTGGCTCTTTTCAGTTTCCATCTGACAGGGCCTATCTTTTCTTCCTTGGCAGGCTTTTGATTTTCTAGTATGATCAGGTAATGATCACTGCCACATGTGTCACTATGTGTTTTCCATGTATAATCCATACAAATTTCTTATAATAATTTGTTGCTCAAGAGTGAAGCAAGAAAATGAGCTTTGAATTCAAGAATCCAAAATATTAGTAAATGAATTACTGCATTTTTTTTTAATGGATATAATGATGGGGTATTCAAATTTATCAAATACATTTTCTGATAAACTTATCTGTTTCTTCCACTTGAACCAGAATATGTGAACTTACAACTGCCTTTTCTGAGAAGTGATATTCTGTATAAAAAAATATAAGCCAACAAACAACATACATTCTTATATATACAAGATTTCATGTAAATGGTTTGCTTTACAGTCACTTGTGTAAAAAAAAAAAAAAAATCACACTTACAGTCAACATGCTGAAGCCTCTCAATGTCATCTTCAGAACAGAGTCTTTCCGTATTTTTCGCACAGGGACTCCCCGCACAGTTCTGTAACATGTGCTTGTGCTAGACTGAGGAGTACGATGACCTGCAGTGACACGATAAGGGTCAACAATTTGTTGTGTACGAACAAAATCAGGTTCATCAAGATCACCCATCCGAGGGAGATGTTCATCTTTGATTTTACCAATGGAACTGCAATATCGGAGGCGTCTGTTATTCCAGAGCTCTTGGTTTTTCTCACTCTGTTCTCCAACGCCAAAAAAGTCAGCAATGCTGGATTTGACATACCTGTAGAAGTAATGAGGAGGTTAAAACACAGATTATATGAGAACAGAAAAACATTTGAGTATTTAAGGTAAAAAAAAAAAAAAAAAACTCATCTTAATTTTATTGTAATTACACTAGGAATTAAAAAATATGAAATTTTATTTTTGCTGCTACAGTTACAATTATGCTAAATTACATACTAAAATGAGTTTCTCAAATATACATAAATTTAATCTTGTTAGAGAATGATCATAGTAATTTTCTTTTTTAAAAATTGAAAATTTGATTTAATATTTGCTCAAAAATACTTTTTTGTGCTTGCTATAGATAAAAATATTCATTAATGTTTGTCCAGAAAGTACTACAAATTTCTTAAGCTGTTAAATTTGAAAATGCTGTTGAAATGCTTAATATTCATATATAGACAATTTATTTGGATACAAGTATATAAGATTTGTAAATGTTCAATGATATTTGAACTACTAATAGTAATATTATGTAATGAAAGCTAAAGACAAGAAAAAACTATTAAGTCTTTCACAGTTCTGCTTCAAAGATCATTACAATGTTTAGAAATATTTAAACTGCAAGAATTTGTTCAGCTTGAGTGAGGAACTAACTACTGTATATTGCACAAATGTTAACAGACCTACTGACATGTAGTTGACATACAAAGTTGATTTTAAAGAGATTTTTCAGACATTAATATTAAGAAGTTATTTGAGTATTCCCCAGAAACCCCCAACCACCTCATGCCATATCAAGTTTTCTGGCAGTTGCAAGTTCACATATTCTGGTTCAGTGGAAGGAGAAACCCCAACATCTATACAGAGCCTTTTGTTGTCTACTCTTGGGAAATTGATTGCCTGACCAAATTTGGGGAGATCACTCCCTCAAAGATTGATTGTGGCAGAATATCAAACTGTCTAACTTCTTCCATCTTGTGTGGGTGCTTCTTACACCTTCCTTGAAATTCTACCTGTGCCTCCACCTCTCTCTCTATCTCCCAAGCAAGCCTGTTCTCAGAGGCAAGGTGTGGTCTAGCCTAAATGGCTAAAATCAACTATCATCCAATATTTCCATGAGCAGGGAAGTCTTATTACATCCCTGGTGGTCAGTTACGTCTGGGTTCTGTCATTTGTCACCTTCTCTCGCCAGCTCTGGTCAACAAGCAATACAAACAGCCAATACCTTTATTTTAATAAATTTTATTGCGTCTTAGGCAGACAAACACAATTAAAATATATATAACTACAATTTCATTTCTGTCTTTTTGTTGGAAATGGGTCAGTCTTAAGATCCAAGTCTTATCATCTTTGGGCTAGAGAGTCGTTCTTGTTATAAAATAAAATAAGACATATCTCGGCTGATTTACAGGCAAATACTCAAGAGCGAGAGCTGGATGTGAATGGGACAAAGCCCTGTCACAAAATGACCATTATCTTCATTTACAAATGTTCCCGACACACGTGTTCCAGTCGAAAAATAAAATAATATTTAAAGTGCTCTATTTTTCGTCCAATAAAAATGCTTCCCCCCTAATTATACTCGCTTCGTTTTTCGAGCCTGTTAAGCCATAAAAAAACGCTATAAAAGGGGTCACTTGTTCAACAAAATCGGCAAAGGCAATAGATATTTTACTACCCTCGATCTACACAGTGGCTACTGGCAAATTGAGATCGACAAGCAAGACTGATACAAAACAGCATTGACATGGAAGGACCAATGCTATCAATACAGGCGCCTGGCCTTCGGCCTTACATCTGCCGGACAAATCTTCTCCCGTTGCATAGCAGAAGCCCTAGCAACGGTCACATCCCATGACAACATTTCCTCCTATATCGATGACAACCTGGTCCACGCTAGGACATTTAGAGAGTACATACTCTCCTTTGAACAATTTTTACTGCCCAAAAAAATTCGGGACTCAAGCTGAATCGATAAATGTTCCTTCCTTGCATCAGAGGCAAAATTCCTCAGATGCATAGTAAAACAGCGAAAGGATTCAAGGCTGATCCAGAATACGCTCGTGCCATCAGGAAATGAAACCTCCAACATCAAAAAAGGAATTACAAAGCCTTATCGGCCGTTTAGTGTGGATCAGACAATTCCTAGAGACACGTCTTCATGAACAAATCAGGTCAGATATGTTTTCAAAACTTATGGGTCCCATACACGAACTCAACAAGGTTAATAAACCGTTTGTCTGGACGCAAAATGCCAACAGAGCCTTCAAAAAAATCAAGGACCGTCTCTTCGCCACCCGTCATCTCGTTTCCTGATTTCTCCAAACTTTTCACACTCACCACCAACGCCAGTGACGTCACATGTGGAGCAATCTTAATGCAAGAAGCCGACAACGGGAAGAAAGATATCTTAGCGGTCGCTTCCCATACATTCAACTCCACGGAACAGAACGAGAGGCATATGCAATAAAGTGGGCAATATTGAAATTTGATTATTTCCTTCGCAACCGCCCCTTTGTCATCTTCACCAACCACAGATCGCTGACATATCTGGACCAACGAGAGTTCAATAATGCCAAAATACGACGATGGCAAGAAGAAATTTCATGTTATAAATTCGTCTTGGAATATGTTGAAGGCGAATCAAATGTATGGGCTGACATACTCAGCAGAGGTTGTGGACATAAGAAAACGAAAGCCCCGAACGACCCTACACCGGTAGGCAGGACATTCAAGGTAAGCGGTTCAGACCTCCGCGTATACATCCCATCCTGGTGCCTGGGCGAGTTTAACGGTTTACAGCTCATTTCCAAAACTCACACACCACAAAACGCCTGCACCCACAAGCACGTCACAAACGTATTCTTCGCCTATCACTCCACCCCCACCATCCCCACTGAGAGAATCTGCAACCACCTCGGCATCACAGATGAACAACAGAAGGACGACGCCCTGGCAAAGATCATCAGCGCCCTCCAGTCACCCACTCCAAGTTTAACATCATATCGATCCTGGCGACCACCGAAGCTACGCTTTTCAAAAAACATTTGCACCAATTTTTTCTAGAACTAGGCACCTCTGTTTTGATGATAAGAGATAGTAAACACTCTCCGAGATTGGTTGTACCATAAACTACGACCCAGATACCTCTACCAGGCACATGCGGGCAACAACCACTCAAGTGTTACCCCAGATGCGAGAACTCCTTTCCAGCTACTGGTGGAATTCAAAACCGCGACATGAAGGCCTATGTCAATTCTTACCGACATGTGTGCTAAGTGCAAGGGCAACTCACGGTAGACGCGTTCCACTGGCCCATTGGCCACTGTAAACGAGGAAAGAGACCATTCGATCTCGCCTTTATAGACTTTGTCACATTGCCCAACTCAAAGGGAAAACTCTACATCCTAACCATCTTGGATAGCTTCAGCCGACATTTTACAGCCATACCATGCGCGAGAGACCGTGCTATCGTCGCCACCCGTGGATTGTACCATTTCTTCCTTCGACACAGAGAGATTCCACGCATAGTATCCTCTGATCGAGGCACACACTTCACTGGAGAAGTCTATCGACAATTCTGTAACCAGATGTCGATCATGCAAGAACTTCACTGTCCTTGGCGCCTGCAAAGCTCAGGAAATATCGAGACATCGCACGATGAAGAACGCACTTTATATGTTATGCGAAGACAGGAACTGTGAATGGACAGACATTCTAGAATCTGTTGTTTCGTCCATGAATGCCACTAACAGCGCCACTGGTGTCTCCCCACACTATGCCATTACCGGCCGTCACCCCAACATCGGCCTACCTACACTACACAGAAAAGAAATCACAAGCGACGATCCTGGAGCATATGGAATGCAAATTAATGCCCTGCTAAAGCAGGTTCACCACCATGTCACCCTGGCCAACGATGAAGCTGACCACAAACTTGAGACTAACTTAAATCGCCTCACATACAAGGACCCAATACAAGTAGGCGACAAGGTTTTACTTCATCGGCCACACTCAACTGTTGCCCAGTCCTCTCATCTGCCCTGAATAGGAAATTACACCATTATAAAAATGAACAATATGATGTGTCAGGTGCAAAACGATGATGGTGATACAATCTGGATTCACCGTGCACATATCCGACGACTGGTTCCACGTCCAACACATCTTTCTAATACAATCCCTCTGCCTCCACCATGTAACAGTCACCAGGATCATTCTCCTCCACATCCCTCGGGGACACATAATTCAGCAAATAATTCCATACCAAAACAAATGCCAATAAGAAGAACACGAGGACAACTTCCCACACGCTTCAGAGACTTTATCATGAATTAGTCACCTAAATATACACAAATAACGCTCACTGCAAATCAGACCGAGATCTTGGGGAGCCTTGTTATAAAATAAAATAAGACATATCTCGGCTGATTTACAGGCAAATACTCAAGAGCGAGAGCTGAATGTGAACGGGACAAAGCCCCGTCACAAAATGACCATTATCTTCGTTTACAAATGTTCCCAACACACGTGTTCCGGTCGAAAAATAAAATAATATTTAAAGTGCTCTATTTTTTGTCCAATAAAAATGCTTCCCTCCTAATTATACTCGCTTCGTTTTTCGAGCCTGTTAAGCCATAAAAAACACTATAAAAGGGGTCACACAGAAGTTCAACAAGCAGTCCACAGGTGTCCAGGGAACAGACCTGTCACGGTCAGGCAGCTGTCAGCAGGGGAGCATCAACCACTGTCAATATGTGTGAACTACTATGAGAGATCGACCTAGATCCGAAGCCGGCTTATGAACCACACCACAAGGTAGCTGTCCCAAACCCTCACATTCCTGTTGAAATAAACCATGTAAACCTATTTCTGCTGTTGTCGTATTTCTTTCTTGCAACCATACGCTTGTCTATAACATTCTTAATTGTTGTGGGTACTTGAAGTCATTAAAATGTAATCTATTCTTCCTGGCGAAGGTTGAGTGGGCACTTAAAATACCATCAATTAAGATTAAGTTGACCATAAACAGATGACTTCAATGCTAGTCATCGC